CCTCAGCCTCCCAAAGGCGCGGGATTACAGGCTGAGCCACCGAGCCTGGCTCCATTCTGAGATTTCAAAGTGATTTAAAACAGTTGAATATACACTCAATGCTCTGAAAAAATATTTCCTTTTTAGTATCTAACTGCATGTCATCCACTCTTTTATCCAGGCAACTCCGAAGATGCCCTGGAAGCCACTGCCTGACAATAACTGATGTTCCCATCACTGTCTATGCAACAATGCGAAAGCCACCTGCACAAAGCAGCAAGGAAATGCATCCTAAATAGCACCATTAAGTCTTTTGTAGAGGTTTGACTAGGTCAAGGGTAATGGGCCAGGATCATCTTATGATCTGGTAAACAAATAAAAGTGGTGGCACCTTTGGATGATGACAACACTTGAACTATTTTATTTTCTTTAAGTAAGAATGACAGAAATATAGTCAGTAAAACACATGCCGTGATAGGTCATCAGTTGTGTCTGATAGACAAGACAGAATAATATTTTATAATTAGAAAATACCTTAGAAGTCATCTTGCTCCCAGTAGATCATTAATCTCAATAATTCAAGGTGAAGCTTGATCTTCTTGGTTATCAACCGGGTGGGCTTACCCTAAATAGAGCTTTGTGTGTTTTAGACTGGTTTCCTTGGTCTATATTTGGCTTGCTACTTGGCTGCATCTTTTCAGTTGAGTACCCCAAGCCAGTTTCTGGCTTGATACTGCTTGATAATGCTCTACTCAGAAATAACATATTGGGCGAGAAGTGGAGCCCTGGAGGTTGTACATTTTGGAAGAATACTTAAGATCAAAGAAAGTTCTTAGTTCATGGTTAACCTGCAAAGCATTTAAACTACTATTTGGGAGCTCATATTATTGGTTAAATATATTTTTAATGATGTCAAGGCTATGGTTCTAGCCCCTATTTCTTCACGAAAAATGATGTCTCATTATCACGTATGTTAGTGGGAGGGGAGAGGTGGATAGAAAAATATTTGAAGAAATAACAGTAAAAATTTTTCCAAATTCGGTGAAAACTATACATTTACAGATCCAAGTAGCTTAACCAACCCAAGGAGAAGAAACACAAAAATAAAACAATGACATGAAATGATTAAATTGAAAAATTTAAAACTTGACAGTGAGTGACACATTGTTTCAGAGGAACAGATATAAGAACCAGAGCACACTTTTAATCAGAAAACATGCAGGCAAGAAGGCAATGGAGCAATATCTTTAAAGTATCTTTCTAAAATGAAGGTGAAGGAAGGACTTTCAGCCAAACAAATGCTGAGATAATTCATCACAAGAAGATGTGCACTATAAGAAACATTCAAGGAAGTTTTTTCAGGCAGAAAAAAATGATGCTATATGGAAATTTGGATCTGTAGAAAGAAAGAACATAGGAATGGAAAATATGTGGATAAATATATAAAATTTTTATTTTTAGATATTTAATAGGTAACTGTTTGGAGCAAAAGTGTCGGCAATGATAATTTATGTGACAGTATAATGTAGAATATTCACAAAAAAGACAAGAGGAGAATAGAAGTTTACTTTTGTAAATGTCTTAGACTATGAAATGGCACAATAGTATTTGAAAATTGACTGTAATAAAGTAAAATAAAACTTAGAGTTATCTCTAAAACCAAATAATAAAAGGTTAGAGCCAATACATCAATAGCAGAGATTAAAGTGGAATAAATGTCACTCAATCCTAAAGAAGGCAGGAAAAGAGGAAACAAGGAACAAAGATAATAGATTTAAACGATATCATATTGATATTTGCATTAATTACAAGAGGTCTAAAGTTCAGTTAAGAGGCAGAGAGTGTCAGGTTGCTAGAAAAAAAGATGCAGCTCTAAGCTGTCTGCATGAATCCACTCCAAATACTAAGACCCAGATCAATTAAAAGTATAAAGGGATAGAAATAGATGTGCCATGCAAACATTAAGCAAAATAGTGTTGGGGTGGCTATATTCACAATAAGATTTCAGAGTAAGGAATTTATCAGGGATAAAGAGGGATAATTCATAATAATAAAGAGTTCAAGTACCTAACAATCTTAAATCTTTATGCAAGAGCTTCAAAGTACATGAAACAAAAACTGATGCATTTGAAAGGAGAAATAACTCCACATTTATGATAGGGAATTTCAGCTGGCAGGGCAAGTAAACAGAGAATCAGTAAGGCTGTAGAAGACATGACAATTGATATAAAACACTTTACTTAGGTATAGCAGAATACTGTATATTCTTTTTAAGTGCACATTGAAAGTTTACCAAGTAGACCGTACTGTAGGCCACAAAACAAGTTTCGGTCCATTAAAGAGTATTCAAAATATGAAGAGTATGCAAAGTATGCCCCACAATAGAACTAAATCAGAAATTGGTAGCAGAAAAATTACTAGAGAGTCTCCAAATACTGGAATATAATATACTTCTAAATAACCCATGAATAAAAGAAGAAATGACTGGAAAAATTAGAAAGTATTTTGAACTGAGTGTAAATGAAAATATATCAAATTTCATGGGATGCAGCTCAAGCAGTGCTTAGAATTACAGCACATTTTTCATTAGAAACATCTCAAGTCAATGACCTAAGCTTCTACCTTAAGAAAATAAAAAAGATAAGCAAACTAAATCCAAAATAAGCAGAAAGGAGTAATGAGGAGCAGAATTTAATGAAATTTAGGGCAGATAAATAATAAAATCAATGGAACCAAAAGCTGGTCCTTCAGAAAGACCAATAAAATTGATAAACCTCTAGGGAGAATGAACAGGAAAAGAGAGAAGACACAAGTTACCACTATCAGGGATGGTAGTGGGGCATCACTACAGATCTAAAGGAGGGAAAAGATAACAGAATTTCTCAGGAGGTTAAGGGCGGGAATTGCCTGAGCCCTGGAGTTCATGCAATGAACCATGATTGTGCCACTGCACTCCAGCCTGGATGGCAGAGTAAGATCCTGATATATGAGAGAGAGAGAGAGAGAGAGAGAGAGAGAGAGAGAGAGAGAGAGAGAGAGAGAGAGAGGGAGGGAGGGAGGGAGAGAGGGAGAGAGGGAGGGGGAGGAGGAGGAGGAGAAAGGGGGAGCGGAGAGAAGCCTTCTACCCGGAATAAGTGCTTTCCCATGTTTCTTACCTTTCTAGGTGTGAGATTTCTGTAAGGGAACATTATAGACAGGTCTTAGGGCAATCCTGTGGCATCATGCTTCAAGAACCTTCCTCCAGGCTGACATCCACTTGTTACTCTACAGTCTTTAGACATGATCATTTGAAAACATGTTCTGTTGAGGTTGCTGATTTAGCTTACTGTTTGCCAACTCACTCTAATTTGGCTGGGCTGGTGAGGGACTCAGTCCTGAGCAGCCACCGTCTCTACACTTGAGTTTCTTGAGAGAGTGTCACTGGTTTCTTCCAGCTACTAGCATCCTGCTGCATTCCTTTTATGTTTGTGCCTCCCTGTCCCATGCTTTGGAAAATCAGCAGGCTCAATTGTGCTCATACACTCTGTTTCTCTCTTTCTCCTTCTCTCC